AACCCGCCACCTTAGGTGTATGTGGCTGGCGCCTTAGCTGCTTGAGCCACAGGCGCCGAGCCACCCCCTGCCTTTTTAAAATTAGTGGAAACATGGGCAGTGCCTGTGGCTCAGTAAGTGGGGCGCCAGTCCCATATACCGAGGGTGGTGGGTTTGAACCCAGCCCCGACCAAACTGCAACAACAACAACGAAAAATTAGTGGAAACCTAACACATAATATGTGCCAGACATTGTTTTAAATATATCTACCCTTTGAGGCAGGAATTATTATTATCTTCATCTTACCAATGAGGAAACAGAAGCGCAGAAAGGTCAATAGACTTGGCTGAGTTTCATAGAAGCTGAGCTAGAATTCGTGGTGGTTCCAGAGATGATGCTCCCAACAGCCAATGCATTATACATTAAGCTCCTTCAAATCCTTTCATTAAACTTTCTTTTTTTTTAAGAGACAGAGTTTCACTTTGTCACCCTCAGAAGAGTGCTGTGGTGTCACAGCTCATAGCAACCTCCAGCTCTTGGGCTTAGGTGATTCTCTTGCCTCAGCCACCCAAGTAGCTGGGACTACAGGTGCCCACCACAAAGCCCAGCTATTTTTTTGTTGCAGTTTGGCGGGGGCCGGGTTTGAACCCGCCAACCTCCGTGTATGGAGCCAGCACCCTACTCACTGAGCCACAGGCGCCGCCCTTCATTAGACTTTCAAAATAGCTGATGTAGACATAGCTACGATGTGTAAACATAGTTCAAATATCAAAGTATACAATACAAAGGTATCAAATCAGTCTCCCTTCTACTCTTGCCACAATTCACCCAGCTCCTATGCACACATAACCAATCTTTTTACTTTCTGGATTATACTTCCTGCAGTAATTTTTTGCACACTCCACTCTACACAAATATGCTGTTTACTCTTTTTTCACCTCTTTTCTCCCCATAAACAGTATAACACTGTAGTCACTGTTCTGCACTTGCTTTTTAAACTTAGCAGTTAGGGGAACTTAATGTTTCCATATCTGTTTGTAGAGAGCTTCCTTGTTCTGTTAACCTACTGCATGGTACTCCATGGCAAGGGCATGTCCGAGCTGATTTCTCCATCCCACTCTTAATGGGTATTTAGGTTATTTCTAATTTTTTACTCTATTAAGCAGGACATCAGTGAACATCCCTATACATAACTTCTCAAGACACGGGCACAAAGATTTCCCCACCTTTAATATATATAATAGCAGCAGGCTCGGCGCCTGTGGCTCAAGTGGCTAAGGGGCCAGCCACATACACCTGAAGTGGCAGGTTCGAATCCAGCCTGGGCCCGCCAAACAACAATGACAGCTGCAACCAAAAAATAACTGAGAGTAGTTGTGGCAGGCTCATGTAGTCCCAGCTACTTAGGAGGCTGAGGCAAGAGGTTGGAGGTTGCTGTGAGCTGTGATGCCATGGCATTCTACCCAGGGGGACAACTTGAGGCTCTGTCTCAAAAAAATAAAAAAAATAGCAGCAGACATCATTTTCTTACATTTGGTTCAGAAAATAAATGACAGGTGTTTCCTTTCTGCAATTTAACCTTCAAAATATTTCCATGATTTTTTTCTTGCATGGTCCCACAGTGCTGGTTCTCCCTAAGTCCTAACTCCTCTTCAAAAGCCCTAACTCTGCTTCAAATGACATTTCACATGGCTCTGTTCCTCCAACCTTCCATGTGGAACTTTGGCACAGTTCCATGGCTAGACACTCCACTCCCACCCCTGCCCAATTCTAGGAATCTTTCCTTTTTCTTCTTATTGCTCCATGGTAGGCTTCTGGGATAATGAGGATTAATCTATGAGGTGTGAGGGGATGAGAGAATTCAGGACCTCCATATCACTGGTGCCTGTGGTCCCTCCCAGGCAGTGGATCCGATGTCATGGTGAGTGACTGCCGCAGCAAGGAACAGATGAGTGATTGTTCATATACCCGCGCTTCTCCAGTGTTTGGCTTCTGGATATTCTCCCAGTGCTGCTTCCTGGATTTCTGCAATGACCCTCAAAACAGAGCACTCCATACTCCTTAGAACGACCCCAGAGACGCTTAGAGGAAAAATATGTTTCTGGCCACTCTCTTAACTTCTACCTGGGCTCAACCAGGACAACTTCCAGTCTCTCATACCAGCCCCCTCTGGTTCCCTCAAGTCACTGGACCTCAGCCTTGCCTCTCTTCCTCGTAGTCAACAGCCTTCAACACCCCTGTTCCCATTCTATCCCCTTTTGACCCCATCCAGGCTCCCTCTTTTGCCCTAAGGCCCCAGGCATTCCTCCAAAATAAATTGGTGTAAAAACTGCTTGGTTTGTCTCTCTTTTCTCATGAAGGGGAGGCCGGCCTGACTCTCTCATTATAGGAGCAGGTAAGGGGCTCCCAGCTCTGCTGAGCTCTGCTTCTGCCCTGCTTTGGTATTTGGTACTTGATTCAGCTCCAGGCACAAAAAGGTGAAGAGGAAGTGGAAGCACCTGCACTCCAAAGGTGAAGGCCAGGCCAGTGGGCATTCTCGGGAGGGCTGTCAGAGCACAGCTGTGCAGGGGCTGGAGGGGAAGTCCAGAGGGCTGTGTTGGTGGGAGGGCTGCAAAAGTGGGGTGGGGAGGAACATTGAGGGTTTGTACCTCCAACTACAGCATGACCTAAAAATTAGGCTTGGTGTTATCTGTCAGAACAGAGGTCAAGGAGATATTAATGTGTGTGAAATGTGTAGATAAAGATATATACTGTGTTATCCCATTTCCATCAAACACACAGGCAAAACTCATCTAAGCTACTATATGTTGCTATAAGTCAGGACAGTGCCTACCCGAGTTAAGAGGAGTGCCTGGGAAGGAGCAAGTGAGCAACTTCGGGTGCTGATCACACAGGTGTGTAGTTTACAAAAATCTATCTCATGATATGTGCACACTTCTGAGTATTTTGGCAAGAAGTGTTTGAAAATAGCTTAGCTAGGCACCCAGTTATACTCTCAGCCGCTTGGATCATTTGAGGCTGGGAATTTGAGGCCAGCCTGTGGCAACAAAGCTAGACCCTGTTCTCTAAAAATAGAGGCCAAAAACTGTATATGGATATAACCCTAAGAAATATGTGTGTATGGCTCGGTGCCTGTGGCTCAAGTGGCTAAGGCGCCAGCCACATACACCTAAGGTGGCGGGTTCAAATCGAGCCTGGGCCCGCCAAAACAACAATGATGGCTGCAACCAAAAAAAATAGCCAGGTGTTGTGGCGGGCGCCTATGGTCCCAGCTACTTGGAGGGTGGAGGCAGGAGACTCGCTTGAGCCCAGGAGTTGGAGGTTGCTGTGAGCTGTGGTGCCACGGCACTCTACCCAGGGGGATAGCTTGAGGATCTGTCTCAAAAAAAAAAAAAAAATGAAAAGAAATATGTGTGTGTGTACATATATATATATATATTTTTTTTTTTCTTTTTTTTGGGCCAGGGCTGGGTTTGAACCCGCCACCTCCAGCATATGGGGCCAGCACCCTACTCCTCTGAGCCACAAGTGCCACCTGAAATGTGTATTTTTTAAGGGAGGGAAAGGGCCTCACTTCTACCTATGTATACATATTTACATGCATTCTCTCCAGATAAGGTGCTATCCCTACTTGACAGGTGACTAAAGTGAGGTTGACAGACTGAATAATGCAAGGGGCAGAGGAGCTGGGATTGGGCTCCCCAGCCACCAAGCTCCACTGCTTTCCAGAAAAAAATTTCTAACCCCAGCAATGGGCTGCGAACTTGGAAGGGCAGACACTTGGCTGCATCCCTCCTAGACTTCTGGTGCTCAACAGTGGGCCTAGCTGAACAGTGTGTCCAGTGTTTACTGAGTATATGTGGAAAGTTGAGTTGTAGCTAGCACTGCTTGCAATTTTTTTTGCAGTTTTTGGCCAGGGATGGGTTTGAACCCGCCACCTCTAGCATATGGGGCCAGTGCCCTACTCCTTTGAGCCACAGGTGCTGACCTGCTTGCAATTTCTCAATATTAAAATGAAGATCCAGGTGGCACCCATAGCTCTGGGTAGGATGCCAGCCACAAGCACCGGGGCTGGTGGGTTTGAACCCAGCCCCAGCCTGCTAAAAACAAAACAATAAAATAGCCAGACGCTGTGGCCAGCGCTTGTAGTCCCAGCTACTCAGGAGGCTGAGGTAAGAGAATCTCTCTCTCTTTTTTCTTTTTTAGAGACAGAATCTTACTTTATTGCCCTCGGTAGGGTCACAGCTCACAGCAACCTCCATCTCCTGGGCTTAGACGATTCTCTTACTTCAGCCTCCCGAGTAGCTGGGACTATAGGCGCCCACCACAACGCCCGGCTATTTTTGTTGCAGTTTGGCCCTCGGTATATGGGGCCGATCCCCTACCCACTAAGCCACAGGCTCCACTTGCAAGAGAATCTTTTTTTTTTTTTTTGACCAGGGCTGGGTTTTAACCCACCACCTCTGGCATATGGGGCTGGCACCCTACTCTTTGAGCCACAGGCACCGCCCATGAGGATCTCTTTTTTTTTGAGACAGAGCCTCAAGCTGTTGCCAAGGGTAGTATGCCATGGCATCATGGCTTACAGCAACCTCCAATTCCTGGGCTTAAGCGATTCTCTTGCCTCAGACTCCCAAGTAGCTGGGACTACAGGCGCCTGCCACAAAGCCCAGCTATTTTTTTTTTTCTGGTTGTAGTTGTCATTGTTGTTTGGCAGGCCTGGGCTGATTTGAACCCACTAGCTCTAGTGTGGTTGGTGCCTCAGCCGCTTAAGCTATAGGCACCAAGCCAAGAGAATCTCTTAAGCCCAAGAGATGCTGGTTGCTGTGAGCTGTGACACCATGGCATTCTATTGAGGGCAACAAAGTGAGACTCTGTGTCAAAAATAATAAATAAATAAATAAATAAACATAAATAAAATAAGGGGTATGCTCAGAGCAAGGGTCCTAAAGAATGGCTCCTCTGTTTATAACATACCCAAAAGGAAACTGGGATCATTGTGATGAGGGGCACAGAACTTGTGGCCTCTCTATGAACAAATTCCATACACGTGAAGAAGAAAAAAATGATAAAATGTATGTGGTGGATGTATGGGTGATTACTGTATAATTCTTTCAACTATACTGTGTTTTAAAAATTGTCTAATACATTCTTCTTAGTAAAGCATCACAAGAATGGAGAAGAATCCAATGTACTCAATCCTAATATGAAGCCAGTAGACGATCTAATACATACCATCATAAGAGAAAAACTCAAATCAATTTAAGGGGGGGGACAGTGGAATGAGGGAGAGGGGAGGAGGGAGGGGGATGTGAGAGTTATCGTATATAGTATAACTCTTGGGGGCGGCACACAATTATAAGAGGGGCTCTATCTAACAAATGCAACCAGTGTAACCTAATTCTTTGTACCCTCAATGAACCTGAAACAATAAAAAAAAATTGCCTAATAAAATATTGGAAAACTAAAAAAAAAATAAATATAAATAAATAAATAAATAAAATAAAATGGAGATCCAAATACCGCAGCCCCACCTGTGTACTCTGCACTTTGCAACCTGGACCCCCACACAGGGGTTCTGGGTGCCAGGATCCTTGAAAAGAACTAGGGACCAGCAGGAGCCCAGGTCCCTCAGTAGCATGACTCTGGGATGCATGTCTGAACTCAAGTTTTCCTGGGTTAAAGTTTTTCCTTTTTTTTTCGGTAAAAAAATTTAACATCAGGAGGGTTTAACTTTCTAGGTTTTGTACTGTGTGTTTATGGTTGAAAGGAGTCAGAGTCCTCATGCTTTGATCTCTGGTTAAACAGAGGGTAGAGAAGGATGTGGGGCCTTTGGGGCAGGTACAGAGGAAACCACAAGCCAAATGGAGTGGGCAAGGGCTCTGCAATCCTGTTGGAATCCCACACCTAATTAACTCTCTAACCTATTTATACCTGTCCATACCTGGGCCTGGGCCCTATAAACAATGTTGACGCAAATTTAGCCCAGTCCCAGTTTATTGGGGAGGAAAACAGGGGATTTGGAGCAGAGAAACAGACCTTCCCAGCTCCTTTCACAAAGCCCCTAACTGAGATGGGTGTCACTATTCAGTGAGGTGAAATGGGACTTCAGAGGCCAAAGGCTGTGATAAAAGAGGACAGAAGACAGGAGACCATGGGAGGGGATGGTAGACACAGTGAGACAGGGACACCAGATTGCCAAAAAATCTGCACAGAAGTCTACCCTTATCTTTTTTTTTTTTTTTTTTTGAGACAGTCTTACTATATTGCCCTCAGTAGAGTGCTGTTGCATCACAGCTCACAGCAACCTCAAACTCTTTGGGCTTAAGTGATTCTCTTGCCTCAGCCTCCCAAGTAGCTGGGACTACAGGTGCCTGCCACAATGCCTGACTATTTTTTTGTTGTGGTTGTCATTATTGTTTAGTTGGCCAGGGCTGGGTTTGAACCCACCAGACTCGGTGCATGTGGCTGGCGCTGTAACAACTGTGCTACGGGTGCCAAGCCCAACCCCATCCTTCTTGCTGCAATTCAGTCTGGTACTAGGTCTTAGAGGTAGATGCAAATAGAAGTGGCAAGTCATCAGACAGAGGGGATAGGAGATGAAAGAACACTGAGATGATGGGAAAGGGATGAGAGTTAGGTCAGCCTGGGCAGAGTCCACACTTGAGATTCTTTCCTAGGAGGAGGAGCAGAATCAGGGTTCAGGAGAGAAATTAAACCAAAGCCACATAAATGCTGGAGTACAAAGGAGGGAGACCTAAAAAATCATAGTGATCAAAATAATGTGAGTGTTCTCTGAGAGGGCAGTGCAGGATGCTGGGGAAGTTAGACAGAGATGCTGGAACAGAGTGGAATCTGGGAAAAGTCAGGTGTCAGAGCCCAGCCTGGGGAAGAATCAAAAGTCCTGAACTATTGAGGAACAAGTACATGCGGCGCAGCGCAGCAATGGACAAGCCCAGGTTCAGGGACAGGGAGGCCAGAGGGTCCAGGCCTTCAGGGTCCTTCCCAGTACTGACGCTGGGTAGGGGCAGTGAGAGGTTGAGGGCCTGGTAGAATCGTTGGATTTGGGAGTTAGACAGTGGCAGAAGCAGAGGCTTATCAGAAGACTCAGGCAGGTAACTCTGGAGCTGGGGGCTGTACCAGGAATTGCAGTAATCATACTGGCAGCACTCAGCCCGATACCAGTACTTTGGGAAGTAGGTATTACGTCGTTCTTGGCAGTGGTAGGAATTGTAATGTCCACAGCCTCGGATGGTGAAGCGAACCTTGACGTCTGAAGAAGAGGGAACAGGTAATAAGCCCTGCTCATAGCTTCCGGTAGTTGCCAAACCTGACACCCCTACCACTGACTCTCCTCATCCCTTACCCAAACCTGACTTCTATCCCAGACTCCTTCAGAAGAGGCTAGAAAAGTTAGCTCAGCTGGTTCCTCAGAACCCCAATCTCTCCTTCCAAGATTCCTGTTTTCTGTACTGCAGGCCCTAACCAGCCCTCATTTGTGAAAGGAGAGATGAAGCCATAGGCTGCCCCACCAGCAGGACCTTTCTAGGACTTTACTCACCATAATAAATGGAGATCACCATGCATGGGGATGAGCTGCTGATGGTGCACTTCTCCGAGCCTGAAATGCACCCTACAGAAGAGTCTTCTAAGAGGCAGAAATGGCAGGTCCGGACCTCAGGAGCAGGAGCTGGGGAAGCAGAGAAGGAATAGGAGCACTGGCTCACTTCTAAGCCCCCTGCTTGTAGGAACCCCCTGGGGCCTAGCTCCATCCCCTTCCAGGACTCGACACCCCTGCCACCCCACCCCTGGGCCCTACTTACCTTTTCCCACTGCGAAGCCCAACATGACCGACACACCTACAAGTACATGGGCCTTCATTATGGAATTCTGGGGAGGGCATTTCCTGAGAGATCCCCTAAAACCCCACATTCCCATGACCCTGCTCCTTAAATCCTGAGCTGTAGGGTGATTTTGACAGGCAGACTGAGTAGGAGCTGCTGTAGCAGAATTATATTCCTGCCTGCGGCAGGATCCTGGCTTAGAGAGAAAATTATTAACTTGGCAGGAGGGACAGCATGTCCTCACCCACAAAGTCTGGTTCCTGAGCGTGGGAGCCATGGCCCAGACAGGTGTTATACCTGAGTACCATCTAGGGCTTTATCCAGTTGTCTTTGTCTTGCATGCTACTCAAAGGTCTATCTCTTCCCCTGAGTTCACAGATTAGTCTATCTTTGACACCATCTGCTGTCCTCTCCACACAACAGGGCCAGTCTCCACTGTGCTGGGATAAGCTCAGGAAACCAAGTGTCCCTTATCCTTCTGAAATGAGAGCAGCTCAGCCCCCCCAGAAGGGGGCATATGAACACCACTGTACAGCAATTCTGGACCTTGTCCCTTCTGTCTCCATCCCTTATAATTTTTTAAAAATAAATTTACAATTTTTAAAAATTATTTATTTATAATTTTTTTTTTTT